CAAGAAATGTAGATTTTGACAGGAGGGCTGAGGAGTCATGGTATAGAAGCAACAAAGGGGAACGGGGTGCTAGTCAACCTTACCTCCCAACCCTGAGTCATGTTGGGGGTGGGAAACTGAGCATTCCACACTTTGAAGAACTTCAGAAGTAAGCTGTCTGGTTATGGCAAGAGGTAGAGGTGAAGTGACATCAATGGGAAAAGCAAAATCTTTTCATCAAATGGTGTTAGAACAACTGGATAGTTATATGCAAAAGAATAAAAATGGACCTTTGCCTAACACAACATATAAAAACTGATTCACAATGGGGGGGGGCACCTGGGTGGCTCATTTGGTTAAGCCTCTGACTCTTGGTTTCTGCTCAGGTCATGATCTCATGGGTGGTGAGATCGAGCCCCATGTTAGGGTCCCCACTCAGTGGGGAGTCTGCGTAAAGATTCTCTCCCTCTGCCCCTCCCCCTGTTCATGTTCTCTTTCTCTCCCTTTCTCTCTCTCTCTCTAAAATAAATAAATCAATCTTTAAAAAATTAACTCACAATGAATCAATAATGGAAATATAAGAGCTAAGTTTGGAAAACTCTTGGAAGAAAACATAGAGGAAAAGCTTCATGACGTTGGATTTGGCACTAATTTCTTGAATATGACACCAAAAGCATAGACAACAAAAGAAGAAATAGATAAATTGGACTTGATTGAAATTCAGTCAAGTCCATTGAAATTACAACTTTTTGTGCATCAAAGTACACCATCAAGAAAATAAAAAGACTAGGGCAGTTCCTCAAAATGTTAAACATAGAATTGTCATACGAACCCAAGAAAATTGATAGTGTATTTTCACAAAAATGTATACAAATGTTTATAACAGCATTGTTCATAATAGTGCCAAAGCAGAAACAACCCAAATGTCCATCAACTGATGAGTAGCTAAATAAGATGTGGTGTGTCCATACAGTGGAATATTATTCAGCCATAAAAAGGAATGAAGTACTGACACAACATGGATTACCTTGAAAACATGCTAAGTGAAAGAAGCTGATGGCAAGAGAATACATACACAGTTGATCCTTGATCAACGTGGGTTTGAACTGCATGGGTCTACCTATATGTGATTTTTCGACAGTCCAGGACTATAAGCGTATTTTCTCTTTCTTACGATTTTCTTAATAACGTTTTCTTTTCTCTAACTTACTTTATTATAAGAAAACAGAATATAACACACAAAATATGTGTTAATTGACTGTTTATGTTATCAGTAAGGCTTCCGGTCAGTAGTAAGCTATTAGTAGTTAAATCTGGGGGGAGTCAAAGTTATACACAGATTTTCAACTGCACAGGGGATTGGCATCCCTAACCCCATGTTGTTCAAGGGCCAACTGTAGTATGATTCCATTTATATGAAACATCCGGAATAAGCAAATCTACAAAAGTAGAGAGTAGATTAGTGGCTCCCAAGGAATGGGGAGTAACTGCTAATGAGTTGTGCTTTGGGGCTTCTTTTGAGGGTGATGAAAATGTTCGGGAGTTAGGTAGTGATGATGGTTGCATAACTTTGTGAGGGTTGCACAATCTGTAGTGATTTCTATACTAAAAATCACTGCATTGTACATATTAAAAGGTGAATTTTTTGGTATATAAATCTCAATTTTTAAATATAGAGTGAAGGAAAGGAGTGAGGGGGAATACATTCCCCCTCACTGTAGATTCAGAGATTTCAGAGGGCATAGGTGGAAACGTTTAGGAGAGAGGGAAAGCATGAGTGTCTGTCTGGATAGAGAAGGAAGGTGACATCTGGGCAGTGATGGGGGCCTGGAGGAATAGGAGGCTTGGAGGGATGGGGGGGGGTCAAGTGTTCCAGGAGCCCTGGCTCAGCAGATCCCGGGGTTTGGAGGGACCGAGGCATCTCAGGAAGCCAGTAGGCTCAGCCTCCCTGATAGGGATGTGGTCATTTTAAGCATGGAATGGTTTTTAGTGGTGACAATGTCCAAGAAGTTGCCATAAGAAAAAAGCCTGGAGAGGAGGGAGAAGTGCCCAGATCACTGGAGGAAAAGAAGGGGGCTCCCAGTGTGGCTACCTTGGCATCTAGAGATGGGCGTTTCCAGAAACAAGGCAGTTGAGCAAAGCAGGCTGGCAATGGGAAGGGGACACTGTGCCTTCCTAGGCTTGAATGTGGTTCCCAGATCTTGGACTCCACGTATGAAGTCCTGTGAATCCCCAAGAGAAAGACCAGATTCGAAAATGCCAAGAACCACTGCACTCTGTCAGAGCTCTCTGTACGAAAACAAACCAGAGAAGGTTAAATAAATAAGCAAAAGGGATCCAGGGCCAGGGGCCAACCTGAGTGGTTACTTCCTGCTGATGTTTATTGAGTTAGGTGCTGTTACATGAAAATTGAACTATCAGAAACAGGTGGCCAGTTTGTCAGGCATTCACGCGGTAGTTTATTAAGCATCTAGAAATGCCAGGGACTGTGCTTAGAATGCTGGATGCAGACTTGGTACAGCCTGCCAAGAAGTTTGTGGAATGGGGACGGGGAACTATAAGTTAATCTCTAAGCAAGTAATTACAAGATAATCCATTACAAGCACGTAATAACCAGGAAAGGAATAAGGAGCTCTGATTCTCTATCGCAGGAATCGAATGGAACCTGGGGGTCAGGGCATTTCTCTGAAGAAATGACATTTCAGCTATCCACCAGAATGGGGTGGGAAGTGAGGGCGGTGCATAGGAAGGCCCTGGGGCAGGAAGGAGCCTGAGGCCTGAGCTGGAGTTAAACCTTGAGCAGCTGCAGCAGAGAGAAGCAGGAAGAGCCAGATCATGCAGGCCTTCTGGGCTAAGTGGGAGATTTGGGGCGTCATTCCAAGAACAAAGGGAATGGAGGGGGACTATAGAGGGGGAAAGACAGGGGACGGCAAAGCTCCAAGAGGGGGCAGTAGAAAAGAGTGGTTAAGGAGCAGGGAGTCTGGAGGCAAATGGCATGGGTTCAAATCCCAGGTCGGCCGCTTACAACCCATGTGACCAAGATCCAGGTCAGCAAACCTCTCTGTACCTCAGTCCCCTCCTCTGTAAAATGGGATAATAATAGTACTGACTTCAGAGGATCATATCAAGAGGATTCAATGATAAAAGCTTGGCTCATACTGAATAAGGAAGAATTGCTGACACGGGTAAGCTCAGCAGAAGCAACCCTCTCCTGGGGACGCTCCCCCACCTCCAGACAGCCATTTTTTGGTGCTAAGAGCTGTTGGCATTCAGGAAAGTTCTGGCTTCTCTAGTGGCTGCCACTTTGAAGGCAAGAGTCTCTTGGCCTTGGAAGACCATGCTGGCAGCATCATCCTTGTGGCTGTGGCTCTCCAGCGAGCTCGGAGAGAACAGGGACCGTGCTGACCCTATATCTCATCAGGGCCTGGCACATGGGAGGGGCTCAGTACCCGCTGGAGAGATGGATTTCGAATGAATGAATGAATGAATGAATGAACAAATGGATGGGGCTGTGGAAGAGTACTTACACTCTGCATCAATAACGAGCATTCCCTAGGTGAGGGCCATTCCTGTTCCAAGGCCCTTACATCCATAGTTTGTTCGATTCCATTCTCACAGCCATCTCGTGAGGGGGCTACCAGGAGACACTTCCAGTAGGGGAACGATCTTGGGAATGAGTCCTCTGTGGGGGAGGCCTAGTCATACATCAGGGACTCTAATTATTGAGAAGTGTGTTTAAGTTGTCACCCCAAAGAAGGGCTTTTGGCTAGAAGTCGGGATCCTGGAAGCAGGAATTCAGCTGGAAAGCAAGCAGCGCTTGAAATAGTTTCTCTAAAGCTCGAGCTGCATATACTTTATGGCTATGATCTCATCTTCCTTAGCAAGGCACAGGAGTGACGGGGGCATTTTACTTGTTTTTGAGAGGGAGAAGTGGTGCATCCTAGTGAGGCAGAGCCCCACCCCACCCCCACCCCAGCAGCCTGGTGGGGCTCAGAGCAGAACCCAGGCATCCTCAGTTCCTGGCTGGGAGAACGTCCCCCAGCACACCACCACACCCCATCTCAGAGAAGACAGGGAGTCGATCAACTGGAAAGACAGTGGGAGAACCGCCTTTGATCTTCCCCTGCCCTCTCCTGTTCCAGTCGGAGTCCCACACACACAACTTCCTGCAGGCTGCTACCCCCATTCCTCCCAGACGGCACCGGCACCCCGCACGGCAAGCTGCCCCCTTCCCCAGCAGCCCTGCTGGTTTCTTCTCCAGAGACTATTATTTTGGGAGAGTGCTGAGTTCAGCACTGCGGCAAGGTGCAGTCTGAGGAGCGCTTCTGTCCTTAGCTGGCCCTTTGGAGCTGGCCTCGGGGCCAGGGTGGCCCTAAGTGCAGGGGCCCCTCCTACACAGGGTCACTGCGTTCAACCACCTACCATCCGTCAGCCCCAAGGCTGTCAAGGCAGGTGGCACAGGAACTGTGGGCAGGGGACGCAGAGCTGTCCAAGGGGCACAGCCCAGCCAGACCCCTGCTCCTAGAAAAAACGACCAAGGTCTTGCTCTCGCAAGCACCCCAGAACCCGAGCCCCCACCCGCCAGCCCAAAGCCTGGGGTTACCAGCTTCCCAGGGTTTGCCTTAAAAGCCAAAGGAGCAGGCTGGCTGGCCTATGGCCAGCAGATTGCACACGGGGTGAGTGGCAGGGCCAGGACAAGCAGCTGGGGCGACAGGCTTATATAAGTCCTTCTGCCCAAACGCCACCAGGATTAGTGGCCTGCAAAGCCCTGCTCCAACAGAGGAGGGGCCTCAGCCAGGACTGCAAACTGAGTCCGGCTTGGAGTAGGCCCAGGTCCTCCCAAGGTATCTGTGTCTGGGTGGCAGATCGGCCGCTGAAGCCCAGGCAGCTGCCCGCCCTTCTCCTTCTGCTTACCAGAGGTCTCTGGTCCTCCAAGTGGGCTCCTGCGGTGGGGACACGCAGGCTGAGAAGGGTGCCCCCTGCAGAGGGCCCCACAGCTCTAAAAGCTTCTTCTGTTCCAGGTGTCCATGCACTGGACAATGAGGCTGGCCGCGGCAGCCCTGTTTCTGAGTCTCACGATGGTGGTCACCAGAGACATGGAGGACTTGTGTTTGTACGAGGCTCTGTCTGACGCCGATGCTGTCCTCTGCAAGTAAGGCTGGGCGGGACTCCGGAAAGCAAGCGGGCTGGCCGAAATGGGGCTTGAGATCTCAGGGAGGGGTGTCTGCAGAAGAACCAGGGAGGACTGTCTCCTCAGGCAGCCTCTGTGGACTGGCTGAGAGTAAGCGAGCCTTGGAGAACACCTGGATGGAGGACGGCATTAAGGAGAGAACTTGAGACAGGCTCCTCCTGCCTTCCAGACTGCAGGCTCCCAGCCCCAGAGGGTATACGGGTCTGGTCAGCGCCCCCTCGTACCCCGGGCCTCCTCCGGACCTGAGAGGCTGGCCTCATCCTCCCTGCTGGGACCCTGAGGGACCATCCCTCCCCATAGCCCGGACTGCTCCCCTCCCCCCAGCAAAGAGACATTTTAAAGAATATGGCAGTTGACAGGGCGTGGGATTGGGCGCTCCCTGTGTGAGGGCGGTTGTTTGCTTTCCAGGGACGAGGACCCGGGAGTGTGGGACAGGTGGGCATTTTAGGGAGTGTGGCCTCTGGGTGTTGTCTAGGGAAGAGGCCAGGCGTCAGGGGTGGCCTTTTTCCCTTCTGAGGGCATGAGCTTCTCCCCGCCTGCGTCCGCTCTCTCCTCCCTGACCACCCGTTAGAAAAGCCAGTCCTGATTGTCCTGGACTCGTGGCTCATCCTGAGGGCAGCCCGGGCCACTTTGCTGCCAACCCTCTCTGCCAGTTCAGTGGCCAAGGAGGCTGGCATCCCACTGAAGCCATCAGAAGTGAGAGAGTAGGGAAGAACTCTCCTTTCTTACTCGGTCTCCTTGCGTACATTTGAATTCTTACAAATGTAACTTTTAGAAAGATAAGTAATGTTTTCCCTCAAAAAGTTAGGTAGCTGAAACCCCTCTCCCCTCCCAAAAAAGATGATACACATTCTGCTCTTATCAGTATATTTTTTAAACTCTGGTGAAACAATTGTGGGTGAAGTTTTGTGTGGAGGGGAATGTGGCTGCCTCTCACATGTGGGCTCCAATCCTCTAGGTGCTCTGTGGAGTGGAACCTTCCCGGGGGTGGAGCCATTTTACTCGGATAGGCAGAAGACCAAGTCCTCAGAAGCTGGGGAGGTCAGCTGGGCCGGGTCACGATAAGGCCCCATTCCAGAGCACCTCTGTGCTTCCCACGTTCACTGTGGAACACTTAGAAAGTGATCATATGTGTACGGTCACTGGGGGTGACCGGCCTGGGCCCCAGCTGTCCTAGGCTCTGCCCTGCAGACCTCCACACACGCGCTGGTGTCCTGGTGGCCTGAGAGCCCTGGGGCAGAGGGAGCTCCGATGTGTGTATCGAGCATCCTCGTATTGCCGATGATTAAATAACCTGTCCACAGTGCTCACACACCTTACAAGGGGCAGAGCTGGGGTTCAGCCCCACTTGTCTGACTCTACACTTAATACTCTTTCCTCTGGCCACTGACCTTCATCCAGGGGCTCGGAGCTTCTCAAACTCGAGGAAAGGGGAGCTGTCTTAGTCCCCTTCGGGCAGCTCTAACAAAATGCCAGGCAAGGCGCCTTAGAAACAGTAGAAATTTACTTCTCATCCTTCTGGAGGTGCCAGCAGATTCCATGGCTGATGAGAACCTGCTTCCTGATTCAGAGATGGCTGTTCTCTCGCTATGCCTTCACCTAGTGGAAGGCACCCCCTGGAGGCCCCGCTTCCTGATGCTGTCACACTGGAGGGCTGGGGTCCGGCCTATGAATTGGGGGAGGGGCAACTGCAAGTCAGTCCTTTGTAGGAGCCATTCTCAGGACTGCCTAGAATACGCCAGCAGACCCCCAGTTTGAGAAACACGAACTTACCACACTAAGGTTGCCTGGTAGGAAATGTCCCATTATAAACCATCACAGCAAAAGGGGAGGTTTGTCTTTATTGCTATTGAAGATTTTCATTGGTAAAAGGTCATCACTAACAGAGAACACATTATGGACATGCCAGACCCCCGAGGAGTGGTCAGTACCTCCTTTGCTAGACCTCCCTCCGCAAGAACCCTGCTCAGCTCACGCTTCTCGCCTTGCCAAGAGAGCCCCCAGAGAAGCCGCTATTTAGAGTCTGAAAGGGAATTTGTAAAGTTAGGCCTTAATACTGGAGGGTATGAATCTAGAAGAGAGGAATTTTATGTATAGGGACAAGCAGTAGGAAAACACTGTTAAGAGAAAAACTCTTCCAGAGTAATACCTTACCTACAAGTAGACTGACAAAAACACTGAGATCAGAATCTAGGTTCAGGGGTGCCTGGGTGGCTCAGTTAAGCATACGACTCTTGATTTCAGCTCAGGTCACGATCTCAGGGTCGTGAGGTCAAGCCCCACCTTGGGCTCTGTGCTAGGCATGGAGCCTGCTTAAGATTCTCTCTCTCCCTCCCTCTGCCCCAACCCACATGTGCTCTCTCTCTCTCTCTTAAAAAAAAAAAAAAAACTTAGGTTCAGTCTCCACGAAAGAACCATAGTCGTCTAACCCGCACGCTTTGGGTGAGTGCACTCAGCACCCCGCTCCCGCTGTCCCCGCTGGAGCCTGGGAGCTGCCCCCTCCAAAGCCCCCTGGCCTCTGCTGGAAGCTCCGCCCCTGAGAAGGTGCGTCCCGTCTGAAGGCAGGGGCCGCCTCTCTCCAATTCACCGCCCTCCTCCTAGTTTTGCCCCCAACACTGCATCGAAGGAGTTGTGTCTCTGCCCCCTGATGGTCCTTCAGACGTTGGGGTGTCATGCTCTGCCTTCACCCGCAGCACTTCTATGCTGGGCGTTCTCCTCCATCCTCGGTTCTTCCCCGGGGGCCTCGCTTCTGGGCCCCACTTCTGGAAGTGTCGGTTGCAGACAGACCCATGATTCTTTTCCAAGGCTGGCGCCCCACGCTTTGACCCCGAGAACCGTGCAGGAGAGGCTGGGGTGCCCACCGAGCCCCCTCAGACCTCTGTGAAGCCGGCCTCACCTCCATGGGCCTTCCTGTCACCCTTGGCTTTCAGGCCCACGGAATCCTGAGCCCTTCCGCAGGGACAGCCGGGGAGCCGGTTCCCTCTGATCCGCCTCTTACAGTGCTGAAGGGACTTCAGCGACCATCCTGTCAGACAGAAGCCCCGAGAAACGCAGTGACTCCCTGGGGAGGCCGTGTGGCGCAGGGGAAGGCAGACTGCTGGGGTAGTTCTCCACGGCTGCACAAATCCCCCCAAACAGAGCAGCTGCTCACCTCTGTTGTGTCCCGTTTTCTCGGGGTGGGGTTCCACCGGGCAGCTCGGGCTCAGAGCCCCTCAGGAAGCTGCCCTAAAGCTGCGGCTTCATCTGAAGGGTGGACTGGCCAGGGTGGGGTGCTCGGCTCCCAAGCTTGCCCGGGTGGCTGTTGACAGGCCTTGGGCCCCTGAGTGCCACGTGGCCTCTCCGTGGGGCGTTCACCACACAGCAGATACTTGCCCCAGAGCCAGGCTCTGAGGCGGAGAGCATGTGAGAGGAGCCACAGGTTTCTTAGAACATAATCTTGGAAGCCACGTCCCACCGCTGCTGCCCTCCCTTCTCCTTTCCAGCGAGTCACTAAGTCCAGCCCCCACTCAGGGGGACGGGGCACACTCAGGTCGGAGGATCAGGAGGCAGGGATCACTGGGGGCATCATGGACACTGTCGACCACACCCACATCCCTGTCCCCTCAGTTCACCAATGTTGAGACCCTGGGCTGGTTGCTTCGCTTTCTTTGGGCCTCCGTTTACCCACTTGGGAGAGGGGAATAATAGCAAAAGCTGCTTTGAGGTATTGTTGTACGGAATGAAATAACATGTATATGATGCACCTGATCGATCCCTTCCCTTTCCCCCGGCCCTATATGCAATGTGAGATAGTGACCACGCTGGGACCAGAGCCCCTGCCGCTCTCCTCCCCTCTCCCAGGTCCTTGTCAAGTTGACTCAAAAGTGCCCCAGCTCTGGGGGTGGAGACAGAACGTGCCCCATGTGAGATACCCCATGAGCAGGAAGAGGGCACAGGTTCTAAAGTGTGTTCCTACTAAATTCAGTTTTCGATTCATTCATCTCAGGCTTGTCCAGATCTTTTTTTAGGCTGATTGGATCATCTGTTTTAATCAATGACCCACTTGATCATTGCTATTAATCAACTTTGTGCAGCTCACAAATCAAATAGATTTGCCTTCTGTGTCCTGATCCAAGCCTTTGGTAAAACTGCTGAATAGGACAGGCCCGCACATGCCCCCGTGGCCTGGCCTGCATGTGGGGCGCCAGGTGGTTTTCAGACACCAGGTTGGAAGCGCCCCACGGTGTGACCAGGGCTGGGGGCACGGACCTAATCCCTGGTCCCCTGGTGCCTACCTTTCCAGGGCCCACTCTGTGGCTTGAGGACCACTCACGGAACATCAACGTGCTGCCTTTGCTAAACTTTTTAAACATTTGTAGCAACTCCACTGGGATAAAAAGAGGAGACCCATTTGTCCCCTGGGGAAGGCCCCTCTGGTCCCCTGTTTCCCTTCTCCCTGCCCCTTGGTCCTTCCCAGTTCTGGGCTGTGTGCTGACTCTTCATCTCTCTGCCAGTGGAGGGTCCCCTCTATCGGCCTTGGACCTTGCTAGCTGCAGTGACAGGGAGTCATGGCAGGAACAAACCAAACTGTCTTTAAAATGTTGCTGTTGGGGCGCCTGGGTGGCTCAGTCAGTAAAGCGTCCGACTCTTGGTTTCTGTGCAGGTGATGGTCTCAGGGTCGGGAGACGGAGCCCCACATCAGGCTCCACGCTGAGTGTGGAACCTGCTCAGGAGTCTCCCTCTCCCTCTCCTTCCCCCCCTCCTGCCACACGGGTGTGCTTTCCTTCTCTCAAAAAAAAAAAAAATTAAAACGTTGCTGTGAGAAAAAATGAAAACCCATCCCTAAAACTTGTTCCAAAGTGATCAAAAACATGGTATCCAAAAGGAATTACTATAACCTCACCAAGAGGTTTAAGAAACAAGTGAGCTGAGAAAACCAGAAGTTGAGCTAACTGGCTCGAGGCTCACCGGGGGTGCTGGCCCACAGAAGCTGTCCTGCGTCTGCGGATGTCGCAGGCTCTGGCTGTCAGCGCTCAAGGTGGGGCCTCCGGAGCCCCTGGAAGGGTGGGGTGGGAGGGGAAGGTGGGACAGCCCACCAGGAGGCTGTCCTCGCCTTCCTCCCAGATCCAGAACTTGGGAGGCTCTCCCCCAGAGCTCTTCCCTCATTATCTCCTCACTGGGTCTCCTCCCGGCATCACCCGCAGCAAGGGAATCGTAGCCAGCTCTG